TTTTTCCGGACTTCCGGACGTTGATTGGAACACTCTCAAAGGAAATGTAACAGACATCATGTATCGGAACTGTCCGGCAAAGAGAGTCAAAAAGAATATTCGTCCTGCCTGGATAACGCGGGATATAAAGAAAGAAGTAAACCGGAAGAACAAACTATGGAGAAGGTATGCAACAACAAAACAACCATCTCATTACGAGCAGTTTCGGCGAAAGCGAAACGAGGTAAGGTCGGCTGTCCGCTGGTCGCGGAAGGAGTATGAAACGCGAGTTATGGAACGGGCCGTCGATAAGCCAAAAGTGCTCTTCAGTTACATCAACAATAGGTTAAAGAACTAGGAGACGATCTTAGTGTTGAAAGGAGAAAAAAATGAGAATATAATCGCAAATGACGCTAAGGCAGAACATCTAAGCCGGTTTTTCGTATCTGTTTTCACCGATGAAACGGACTTTGACGAGGCTGGATTGCCTGCTGTGACAACCAACGAAATAATAGAAAACATCGATTTCACAGAAGAAAATGTCAGGAAGGAACTTCTAGCGGGTCCCGACCAAATTCCGGCAAAAGTTCTGAAGGAGTTGGCTTGCGAACTCGCCAGACCGCTTTTGCGCATCTTCAGGTCGTCCTTTGACCGATGCATTCTCCCCTCTGATTCGAAAGTGGCGAACATATACCCCATTCACAAGGGTGGATCTAGAACACGTACAAACAACTCTCGGCCGGTGAGCCTAACGTGCATTTGTTGCAAAGTCATGGAGAGAATAGTCAAAAGTCCATAATGAGGTTCCTTGAAGAAAATAATTTCTTTGCTAGTTCTCAACATGGCTTTCGACGGAATCACTGCTGCCTAACTGATATGCTTTATTCAACGGAACAGTGGTCCCGCTCGTTAGACGCAGGAACAAAGGTCGATATCGTTTACATTGATTTCAAAAAAGCCTTTGATAGTGTCCCACACCACCGGTTACTTTACAAGGTCCGAGAGTCAGGGATAAGGGGAATCCTATTAAACTGGGTAAAGGACTTTCTGACTGATCGATCACAATCTGTGTGTTTTGGTAGTGCGACGTCATCGCCAGTGCCAGTCGTGAGTGGAGTTTCCCAGGGCTCTGTACTTTGATCAGTACTATTTTTAATTAATGTCAACGACTGTATGAATGAACTGGACTGCAATGGAGTCGTGTTTGCCGATGACATCATGTTATGGCGAGCGATCAACGGGGAAAATGATGAACGGGGCCTGCAAGAAGGACTGAACCGCCTACGCGAATGTTCTGACAAATGGCAATTAAAGTTTAACCTTGAAAAGTGTGTCACGCTGCGACTCAAAACAGCTGGAAGAGCCGACGGAGAGGATCACCATTACCTGCTTGGTGGAAGGTGCCTTTCAAATGTGACCCAACAAAAAGATCTTGGGATCAACATTTTGTCGACTCTTAAGCCTTCCTCTCAGTGCGTTAGGGCGGCCAAAACGGCAACCAACTTTCTCTTTGTCATTAAACGAACGTTCGTAGACATAAACAAAGAGTTATTTGGAAAAGTATACGGAGCGTTCATTCGTTCGCACCTGGAATACGGAATCCAAGCGTGGCGCCCGTGGCTAAAAAAAGACTATAAGTTGCTAGAAAGAGTTCAGAGGAGAGCGACAAAAGCTGTGAAAGGCCTCAGGACTTTACCTTACAACTGCCGACTTAGTGAACTTAAACTCTTTCCTCTTGAGTACAGGCAGGTTCGAGGTGATCTCATACAGACCTATCGGATATTGAGGAACCGGGACTGCCCTTACACCTGGACGATTTCTTCACCCTGGCCACAACAACAAACTTGCGTGGGAACTCCCTAAAACTTAGAGGATTCCGATGCCGCCTGGACGTTCGAAGATTCTGTTTTTCACAGCGAGTCGTCGGTGCCTGGAACGGACTTCCCGAGGACGTAATAATGGCGGATACCACGGAGACGTTCAAGCAAAGACTAGATGTATATTTGCTTGGACAATACCGCTTGTCTGGACAGAATAGCTCTGTGGTGCCAAACCAACGCCTTCCACACACCTACCGCTAATGCGGATGACTGTCATTGCATTTTACCGATATCATCTACAACTGAATGTGTTTGAGTTTCGGTCCTGCATTTTCAATGAAAACATTCTGTTAAGTAAATATATTACTGACAACATTTGAGTACCGTGTTTATTTAAAGTTACATATTGCATGTACCGTTTACAATAGGGTTTTCAAAGGCATTGTCTATTACCCTTAAAATATACTGACATACTGACATATACAACAGTGAGGGCCAAACGCCCACTTGCTATATCTATATATATGTATATTTAGAAAGGTGAAGTTCTTTGGGAAACAGCAAAATTATATTGTGAATTTTAGAGACTGGTTCCCCAGCTCGTCTTCAGACAACGCGTGTGCAAAAACAATTAACTTTTAGACTGAGTCTGCCAAAAGGATTTCATGATTGGTTAAGGTCGTCATCTCGGGATTGGTTGACTCAGTTTGAATCTGTCCTTAACGATTTTGTATGTGGCATCTAAATCGATATGCCGGTTGATGCATGCCTCATCTGAGTGCATTGCCTCCAGGAATTCGCGGCCTTTCCTTATTGGGCAAACGCCAACAATGCGAGTGTTTTCCCATGCGAATTTATGCCCAGTGTCCAGTGTGTGCATGGCCACCTGGGATAGATGGTCGCGTCTCTTCACCGCTATATGATGCTCATGTATACGGGTTGAGACAGAGTTCCCAGTTTGACCATAATAAACGGCATCACAACTAGAACATGGGATTTTATAGACAACACCTTTTCCTGTCCTTAGGGT